TTAGGCATTAAATTATTTCAACAAAATTGTACGACTTTTTTTTACTTATTTTTACAAAATTCTTTTTTAGTAAATCAGTTTTACCGACTCGTAAAAACCTCATTCCCACGGTTAGCGTATGACAAAAACCTACGGCTTGCTGTATTCGAGACCACTACCAAGGAAACTCCTGCCGACTGTAGAACCATATGGGACTGAAACGTCTCCGTGTCACTGTAATATTTACGGCACTCTCACGCCTGTGCGATCCGAACAGTCCTTATAGAAACCCGGTGATGGTGGGGGTGTAGCACGCATAGACTGACTCTTCAGCCTTTTCAGCCACCGCGCTGGCGTCCACTTCCGGTTGTCTTGACAGTATTCCACTACCGCAGCTAGTTGGATGAGGCAGGAAGGTGCTGTAGATTTTACGTAAGTCCGCCTTCGTAGGAACTAATTCACTCGCAAGTCACCGGTACTGCGCTCGCTCCGTGCAGCATGCAGAAGACGTCATTGCTTGTGACGGCTGAAGATTGTTTTTTTCTGTCACAAGGCCGCCTTCTTCGAGGCGCATAGCCTCTTTTCTGAATAAAACGGCTTAGACGCACTTTATCGATCCAAATCCATCGACAGCGGAACCACATCCTGCACTCATTCTAAAAGGAACACTTTCACTTCGCAGTTCAGCTTGGCTTTAGCTGTACTGTTGCCTGAAGACACCAACTGAACCCGATTCGCTCCGACTTTTTTTCGTTAATGGAGTCATAATGTAGGCGCCCGGATTATGATTTTACCCAAATTTTATCGGGTGGTTCAGCTCTAATAAAACACCCGAGTGTTGTGAGGAATTATTGCAGTTTTTCTGAGCAATATGCATACAGAACTCTTTAGGAAGCACGAAGGCTTTCTTTATACTGAATATATACAGGCAGAATTTTCGTGTGTCTCTTCTATGAAATATCGACGAACTGTCATTTATACAAAGAAAAAAGCGATTCTTTGCGAAAGTAAACTCAGCACTTTATGAGAGTCAATACTAGGACCGAATATAATCATTCTACTACTCCTGATCTGTAGATGTTTGGTGTATGCACACATGTAGTGCACGTCCCATTTCAGCGATACAGGGACTACCTCCTGCGTCATGGAGGCGAGCGAAGACCGGCTTCCATGATGAAACGTCTGCTAGGCGACTCGACAGAAGCAGACGATGGCCCCAGTCTCAGTCCCGAAGCTTTAGCTACCGGACTGTTTGAGGACGTGGCAGCATGTGAGGACACAGCGAAACGCATTTTCCAGATGGACAATCATCCTAGTCTCAAGCGAAAACTCTAAAACATCGCCTGCCCCCCCTCTCGTGCCCCCTCGGTGCACGCCGGCCCAAGTACCCAGGCTGTCGTGCGCGCCGTAGTCTTTCTAAAGCTTTTTGTACTAAATTATGGTTTTTTTGTATTGAGGTGATCGCCCCAATGTTCCTCGTTTTACCCTAGTGATTCGACTTTAGGTTAAATTATCTGGCTATGTACTCGAATTTGAGTGTAATCCCTCAACATAATTTTGGCTGACAATTTTTACATCCCGCGGTTGCCCGTGTGGGGGACTGAATATATATAC